ATATATTCTACATTGAATTTAGAACCTTCTCATAACAAATTGTTGCCTAAAACAGAAGAATGTTCTAAACCAATATAAAGTACTTTATTCTCTACCTAGTGTGTTGGGCCACAACATGCTTAATAGAGTCTAAGAATTTCTTGACAGCCATTTACTTAAATTCTCTATAAATACTGACAGGATAGTAGCTGTAAGCATGTTTTTCCCACTTCTGTTCAATTGAGTCTGATTCTTTACTGCTTCTTAATAGCCTGATACAAGTTACAAGGTAGTGCTTTTGCATCAGCCATTGGAAATATAATGATTTTCCAGGACTTAATGAGGTTTCCTGAATAAATAAAAATGTTTCTATTTGCTGTCCCTGCATTACAGATATTTTACCATTGCAGAACAATCTTTTATGTCCAATTCCACAAATAAAGATTGTGATCATAGTTTAATTTCTGTGCAAATACTGCTTGGCAATCAATAAGGTAATGACAAAAAATTGATTTAATACAACCCTGAGATAAAGAAAGGGATACCTAATTTTACAATTAGAAGGAAAGCTTACAGCTGGAATGCAAAAGAAAATCTAATAAATCAATATAATTATATTATGTAAATAAGCGAATATAATTAATACCCTAGAGAATATGTAGCTCTCATGAAGGATGCTTACCCCTTCCAACAAAATTAATTTACTCTTCTAAATTTATTGGCAGATACGTCATAATATATGATCAATAGGATATAAGTAAGCGTCTATGAATAATGGGACTGTTTGTTTGCTTAGGATCTGGATAATTACTAAAAACTTTGGAAACCTAGAAGCACCGGTTCAAGTCTTTAGTAATATACTCATTCAAGGAGTCTGACAACAGTGTATTTGTTCCATTATGTTCCATGATTGTGAAAATGTCTAAATAATTACAGTTTTTCAATTGTTGATGTGGCATTCGTCCAAAATATTGTCAGTTGTCCTTTTTGCAAAGCTCCTAATCAGCAAGCTAGGGCATCACCATATTTTATACAGTTACTGTCACTGTTTATCTTTCAAGTTTACTTTGTACCAGAATAAAATAACTAATGTCTGTTTTTCTTGTTTATATCTTATAAAGAAATAGTGCTGTAGAATAGAGAGTAGGTGCACTAGATAGCCTGTTTGTACTCATTCTTCTGTAGAGTTTTAGAATTTTAGGATTGCAGTGCTTATATAGATTCTTATTTGCTTATTTTTCAAAGTATTCTGTCTTGCTTAAAACCTATTTTTGAGAGTGTTTTATGTTTAATATTTCTTGAAAAAAGATAAAAAACGAATCTGACAGCCTAATGTACAGTAGGAAACCAATATATCCAAACCTCTGGCTAAGTCAACATTCATACAGACTGAATCTGTATGGAATCCACATTCCTCATAGCTAGGAAAACAGAATGGGGATGTTGTTTTGAGTGCCTGGTGAATTCAGTATGCTGGAAAGCGCTTATTTGTTTAAACGATTTTATAGCTGCTGATCTCATGACAATTTAGACAACATGGATTATCTGCTTAACTTTGGGTCAATATTATAGATATTTCCCTAATTTGGCTGGAGTTTGGATGTTATGCAGTGTCTCCCCACCTCCTCCTTTCTCCTGCTTATATCTCTTACTCATTCTTTAATCCAACAAAATAACTGACAGAAGATGATTCCTGTGCAAAAACTATATAAATTATACATAATATTTAAATTATATATTTATTGTAATAGCCAGTATCTATTTTAGTGAGGATTAGACTTCTATATTTATAAGAACCATCAATTAAATTGCATGTTTTAATACTGTAATCTAGTTTGGGAACACTGCTGCATTACAATGTCTTTAAAAAATCATTATAGAAATAGAAAAATAAAATTCCACCAGGACTAGCACCCAACTCTTTACAATTGAGCAATCCACTTTGAGTAACCCAAAGTAACTGTAGAGTAGCTGTTAAGTGGAGTGTTTTCCCATTAACTTCAATTTGATAGAAATGTCATTTGTCCCTGCTCCTTATATCACCCCTAGATAGGAACATTGTTTGCTTTACAGAGATAAATCATGAGATGTTTTGTCAAAGCTGAACCAAAACAAGGCATCAGTTTGAGGTTTTATATAAGATTGATGATTACATTCATTTTAAAAAGAAATTGCACAGTAAAACTGAGATATCTGGTGAATTCTGAAGTTGACTCCAAGCAAGCAGGCAAACCTGCTGTTGATATATTGTGTCTCTCTCTCTCTCTCTTAATTGCTTCAGTGTTTAATATAGGTGAGAAAGCACCACCCCAATACAGCAAATCTGATTTACAGCTACCATGATTTTTCATAGTATTCATAGATTTCAGGGATCTTGGAGTTAATTCCCAACAAGTCACATCCTAATAATCACCAGCCTGGATTATGAAAATATGTTATAAGAGGGGATATCAACCTGAAGCTGCAGTTGATTTAAAATACAATGGCTGCTTATTAGCTGTCACATGTAACACCTGTGCTGTGGACCCTGCCTTACTTTCTAAAGTCAAACAACTATTTTTAACATAAAAAGGCCAGCGTGATTTGGGCCTTAAGTATTTCCAGGATTCTCTTCTCCAACTTGGATCAACCAAATCAATTGTTCTGGGGGAAGCTGTTGTTAGTTCTCTAGTTTCACAAAGTGATAGGAGCTAAGGCATGAAAACAGTGCTTTTCTGTGACAGCGTTTACTCTACTGAGCAACTGTCTCTCAAGATCAGCCATTGTGCTCACTTGTATTGTTGCTGGTTTTGCTTTTAACCTTGGTTTGGGTTGGTCTTTAACTCAATGTTGACTTATGGCAACTGCCTGGACTAATCCCTGCACTTTTCTTGGCAGGATTTGGGAAATGGTTGGCAATTGTCTTTTTTTCTATGCCTGAGAATGAGGAAGTGACCCAAGGCCAGTGCCTGATGTGGAACTAGAATTCATGGCCCCGCAGTTTTTAGTCTGGTGCCTTAACCACTACACCAGACCAGCTCTCCTATTTATACTTACCATGCATGATTTATATGGAGATAGTACTCAAACTTAAACCTGTTCGTTTAGTGGCTCTTTGAAGTTACAACAGCCCTGAAAAGAAGTGACTTACAACCAGTCCTAACACATGTGAGCATCACAGCATCCACATAGTCATGCGATCAAAATTCAGGCCCCTGGCAACTGTAATGTATTTACAATGGCTGCAGCATCTCTGGGTCATATCTGACCTTCACATCCAGCTTCTAACAAAGAAAGTCAACAGGATAAGCTGTATTCATTTAACAACCATGTGATTCACTTAACAGCTGCAACAATTCACTTAACCATGGCAAAAAAAAGGCAATTGGGTTGTTACTTAACAACTGCCTTGCTTAGCAACATGAATTCTGGTCCCAATTGTTGTCAAGGACTACCTATAACAGGGGCCTTCAACCTTGACAACTTTAAGACTTGTGGACTTCAACTCCCAGAATTCCTCCTCTGGTCATGTTAGCTCAGGAATTCTGGGAGTTGAAGTCCACAAGACTTAAACTTGCCAAGTTTGAAGACCCTTGTATATTTGTTCACCATTGAGTGTCTTACTCACAGATTACAAGTCAAATAAATTCTGCAGTACATTCAAATCTTCATAATATGTGGTTCATATATTTTATGATAACATAAATTGACAAGTATAAATGTCAAGAAAATTCATCTTTGAAATAAATGTCAGTCTAGAATATTATTTTAATCTCTGCTAAGCTTAAATTCATTTTTCTGTGCTAATTAAAAAGATAAATCGAAACGATATTTCTCTTTGTTTCTAACTATATTGCTACTGCCATTGATTGACATGAGATTTTCTTAATCACTATAATTTATAATAGGTTATAATATCTTAATGAAAAGATTTTTGCAAATTTAGTTACCATGATCAGTCTCTGTGTGCCTGCATTGTGTTTGAGTTTTATGAAATGTTTTCGGGTTTAAATTAAATATGTGAAATCTGCACTGGCTGTTAAATAAAAACATTTTTATACATGATAGATGGTATGCATACACAAAAATGTTAAGTTGTCATCTCTGAACATTAGTGAAATGCTAATTAAATGATACAAATTAAACAAAAAGCAAAACAAAACCAAAGCCTTGTTAATAAAAAAAAATTGTGCAAGAGGGTTCCTATCTTTGTTACCTAACATGATTGTGCTTGTGTAGCAATTCTTAGCAGTGGACATTGCCTAAACTGGACTGTCAGATCAATAGAGAACAAGATATCCAAAAGAGAATCAGTCAATAAGCCAAAAAGAAAGTATATATAGAAACAAGACATTGGAAGAAGAATATAGCTACAGTGAGAGTCATGTAATTTATTTATTTATTATAACAACTTTTACACCATCCAGTCCAAAAATTCTAGAAAATTAAAAAAAAAAAACAATTGCCAGTTTGCCTTTAAATCTTACTTAATCTTATTTAAACAGTAGCAATATTAATTTCAGTGCTAATGATACTTCAGGATATGCCCATATGTTCATCCATAAGGCAGGTTTGTCAGAAAGGCCATTTGAAAGATACTGAAGAATAATGGTAAAGGAATTGTAGCAACTCAAGCTTTCTTAATGATCACAAGAAAAACCACGTGTCATTGAAAGATCTGAAGTTTGACAGAATATCATCACAAGAGAGTTTGTGATAACATATGAGGAAGATTCATCTAACTGAAAACAGAACACTAGATGAAACACCTAAAGCACCTACAGCATGAAATGATTATAAACATGATCAAACCATCCAGATGTAGTCTTGGAGAAAATGTGCTTGAAGCGTTGCTTTTCATGGTGATACTGCTGTTTTACACATTTATCCTTATAAATATAAATCGCATGACTCGATCAAACCACGACCTTTTCTTTGTGGGATTGTTCTTTTTCAGGTTTATCCTCATAAAAATGAATCATGCTTCAACAAAATCTGAGCTTCCACTAAAAATGCTCTTCTTGTGCTTTGTTTATGTACAGCTACTACAACACCATCATGCAGTACATGAAATTTCATACATCGCAAAGGATATCACAGACCATCGGGCCTTTGGATACGTATGTGGAAAGGAAGGGAATCATAGATTTGTGGCAATAAAAACAGCCCAGGCAGTAAGTATCAAATATCATTTCTCATTTATATCATCATTTTATAGTAGTGTTCTTTATGCAGTACATAATACTGTCAGAAGTGCCTGCATAAATGTTCTGAAATGACAGTTTAGCAATATCAGTCATGGAAAGAATTGAGCACAGTCATCATTCCCATTTTTTTCTTGATGTATTCTTTCTAATTAGTAATTATTTTCCTTCCTAATTAAGCTGTACACACTAGCTGAATACAAATCGGCTTACTTAGTCCCTCATCACCCTTTTAGATAGAAAATAATGGAGGACAAATAGCTATTTTTCAGGGCCTACTCAAAGCATCTTTTATGTTTGTTTTAATCACCATTATTTTGCAAATATAATTTATGTACAGTATATAAAAATGAATCTTCACCTAGTTAAAATTTGCATCTTGACCAGTATAAATAAAGTACAAATTAATTCACTAGGAATAGATGAGACTCCCTCCCACCCACCTTAAAGAGATTTGTAAGATTGCATTTGTAAGCCAAATTAAGGTATAGTAATTACTGATGTGAGTTCAGATGCAACAGTTTCATTTTCAAATAATATGTAATCCGCCAATGTTATTGCTATATCTTACAATTTTGAATTACAAAATTCATTTGGAATGTATAGTAAGTTAAATTTATGCTTAAAGAGCATGAACTATTAAATAGAGTCACCAGTAAGGCATTAATAAGAAGTTTAAGGTTGAATTGAGTGAACATGGGTTGGGTTACTCATTTTCGAATTGCATTGTGTTTGAGGGGGAAATTAAGGGGGGGAAATTATCTGGGAAGTATTGCATTACACTCTGATAATTTTATTTGGGTTTTAGTTGCATTTTCTTCATTGCACAGAATGGACTTTCAAAATGTGGTCCTTTCACTGAAATATCTCTAGAAAAACAGAGGCAACCACAAAGAAATTTTATATGAAGACCTAATAAGGATTTACATGCATACAGAAGATGGAACACTGTTGATTGGTCTACAACCTTTTTTTTTTTTTAGGAAAAGTTGATGAGAAGGTGGAAGGTGGTTTGTCTCCAATTTCAGAGGGTCCTAAAAAAAACCCAGATTATTTGAATTCCTTCCAATTCCTAGGAATTCAGGATCACCTTTGCTTGGAACTGGACAGTGTATCTTTCCATGCCCCAGCAGCATTTGATACTATTGATCATTATATCTTTTTGGCTGTATGCAAGGACTGTGGACCATAGATACTATTCTACATTGGTTTTGCTTTTTCCTAAACCAACAGCTTCTATCAGTCCTTCTGAGGGAAGAAAGGTTGAACCATTGCATCCTTCAATCTGGGGTGCCTCAAAGTTCACCTTATTTTCCAGAATTGTTTCATATGTCCTCTGTTCAAAAGTTCCTCTGGGAGATCCTCCATCAATTTAAAGTTAGTTATCAGTATGCTGATGAGATCTAATTTTATATCTGTACCCCAAGCCGAGCAATGGGTAGTAGTAGAAGACCTTACCCAATGCCTAGTGGCTGTGAGTGTTGAAACAAATCCAGACAGAATATCAATGAGACAAAACTTCATGATAGTATAGAAACCTTCGAAGAGAATCAGCAATGTTCTGTCTTCTCCTTATATGGATATTCCATCTATTGTTTTAATTCCATTTCTCTGAAAGTGCTGAAATATAATATGAAAGATTTTTCTGGATTCAAAGCTCCTGTTAATGGAACTATTTCAGGAAGGAAGGGAGGGAGGGAGGGTTTTAACCGGGGAACAGCAATCAATATGCAGGTAAGTCCTTGACTTATGACCACGATTTCCTTGCTTTACGACCACAACTGAGCCCATTTTTTTTGTTGCTAAGCAAGGCAGTTGTTAAGTGGATTTTCCACATTTTATGACCTTTTTGGCACATATATTAAGTGAATCACTGTAATTGTTAAGCAAGTCTGACTTCCTCTATTGATTTTGCTTCTTGAAAGCTGGATGGAAAAGTTAAAAATGGTGACCACATGATCTGGGACAGTGCATAAATGCATGCCAATTGCCAGGTATTCAAATTGATCACATGACCATGGGGATGCTGCAACAATCCTAAGTGTGAAAAATGGTTATAAGAGACTTTTTTCATCCTGTTGTAACTTTGAATGATCACTAAACGAATGAATGTAAGTCTGGACTACCTGTACTTTTAATTTTATGTTTTGCTACATGGTGTTTTGACATTTTAATTCTGTAAGCCACCTAATATCTGACAAATGGACAGAGAACAAATTAATAATAAAATATATTCAGTTGTAAAACTTGTTGTCTGGTTTGATTATACAGTTCATGACTGTGCTGTTTAATAATGGCAGTTCCAGAAGAGACTCGGTTACTGCATGCTGTTAAGCAGGAACCTCATGAGATTGTGACTTCATGCCAGTTTCCCCTAACTTGCTTGTGGGAAGCTAGCAAGTAACAAATCATGATCACATGACCACAGAGGTGCTGCAACAGCCAGAAGCCTCTCGTTCAGCACTGCTGATAGTTAAAGCAGTCACTGAATGAGTAGTCATTTAAATGAGGGCTACCTGTAATGAACAACTCTGCCAAGCAATATTAATTCCACTGATGTCAATGCACTTGCAACAAACTAAACAGTTTGATATTTGTCATTAAGATCTGGCTTATCAGAAATACTGTTTTATTAGTTAGGCCTTTTATATCAGGGGTGGGATTCAAATTTTTTAACAACCGGTTCTGTGGGCATGGCTTGGTGGTCATGTGACTGGGTGGACATGGCTTGGTGGTCATGTTATTGGCTGAGCATGGCCAACTCAACATCACTCACATCGAGGCACGCATCTCCTCACCTGGCCTCTCAAGACTGTGGGGATGCTGCAACAGTCGTAAGTGTGAAAAATGGTCATAAGTCACTTTTTTCAGTGCCATTGTAACTTTGAATGGTGACCCCACACAAGCAAAGATCCAGCAAAGGAGGGGAAAAAATTCCAGAGACGTTCCTGAGACAGGAAGTCTAGTCCTGCCAAGAATGTAATAAGGGTTAACGGAGAGGCAGTTTCTGTAAGCAACACCAGAATGTTTCCTTCCTGCCTTCCTTACAGGATTAGGCCAGTAATTTCTTCTAACAGCTGGTTCTCAGAACTGCTTAGAACGTTAACAACCAGTTCTAGCGAATCGGTGTGAACTGGTAGAAACCCACCCCTTTTATATATGTATATTACATTTATACATAGACATTCATTCATTATTTCTGTATCACGTGTAGGCAGAACCTGTGATTTTGGATTTGCGAGACCTCTTCCAACTTATTTATGAGTTGAAACAAAGAGAAGAACTGGAAAAGAAGGCACAAAAAGATAAACAATGTGAACAAGCAGTATATCAGGTATTTTAATAATTTTTGGTAGGCAAGTACAAAAAATTAATATGTGTTTGATTTGGTGCTTTTTTTATGTGATTCAAAACACTAAAAACCATTTTATACAAAGTCAATTTCTGTATTTGAAGATGGTACTGTTAGTATTGGTACAATTATGTTTGACAATGATTAAAATCAACTTAGCTCTAGTGAGAAACTTAATCGTGTGAACTTGTTGACTTGGCAATAAACATATTATATGCAAACTTGGAGATCTTCGGAGTAATTGTGTGATACTTTTTCTGGTGTTATTTCATACATAATTGTATACACTGTGGGTTAAGAAGGTACATGAAAATGTGAATTTCTATTTTACATCTATATATTATGCAGTTCCCTTATGCTTTAAATCATGAATCTTAGGCATCTGCTGTTCATATTCTCTCCCTTTTTTATCTTTATCTTTGACTTTCTTTGTGATAGACAATTTTGGAAGAAGATGTAGAGGATCCTGTTTATCAGGTAATTTTTGAAGCCATTTTTTGTGAAGTTTCAAAATCCGGGATGTGGTTTTATCCATAAAATAATATAAAAATATAAAACAAAACTTCACCGTTTCAAAAACAGATCAATTAGGTATCAAGGAAAAGACTGAAAATTATAAAAAAAAGTTTTCAAACTAGTATTTTAGTTTTTTGTTTTTTTTAAGCAATAAACATTAAAATTAGAAAACAAAGGAAACATAATGTTGCTAATACTGAAATATAAAAATAATACCTAGTAATAATAATTGAGAAGTAATTTTAATAACTAACTCATTTTTGACAGGGCTATTTATATTTGTACATGTGCTTTGAGATTGTCCTTTTAAGAGAAGAACAGTTGTAATTAACTATTTTAAAGTAAATAAACTGTAAGTTGAATAATGAGTCATTCTAAAATAATTTTATTTAATTGGGAGGTCATTGAGAAACAAAAGTGGCCAAGCAGATGTCCATCCAAGCGTAGTCTCCCTGTGTTTATAATCTAGGATGGTCATTGAAATGGTATGAAATTCTAAATCTGCTCATGCTAAAGATTAGTGAAGAAATACATGCATTGATTAGTTAGCAAAAAAAGAATAAGAAATAAATACTTCTCCAAAAGGCATACTAAATTTCTACCTGTGAAATAGGGTGTCCAGTCTTGCAGAGAAATAAGTGCTAAGTCTCTAGACTAAGATGTCATTATAATAGTGGAAGATGTCATTATAAGTAGTTGTGGCAATAAGAAATAAGACAGGTGCTTCAAAGTAGGTATCTTAGTTCCAACTTTTACAGCCCCATCCATCATCCAAAAGTGATTCTGGTAATTAAAAGATCAAGAGATTCAATTCCATGGAAAAAGACAGCAAAAATATTCTAGGAAAAATAGAAACCTATATTGTCCCTTCTGCCAATTATAAGATTGTTTTCCACACGCTCTTTAAAAAAATTGCAGAACATTTTGCACCAATTTTTGGTATAAATTAAAATTAAATTTAATTAATTAAATGAATTTAATTAATTTAGGCTGAATTTAGGCCCTAGGGATCAGCCACCTAGTTTGCAATACTGAGTTATAATGTTGGTTTGGGAAGTGTGTATGTGTTAGATTGTCTAACCTTAACCCTAACCCTAACCCTAATCTTATGTGTAAAATCTTCCATTATGTCTTTGCAGTCAGTGAATGCCATGTCTATGCATCATTTAAGCAGCTATGCTTAAAACTTCTGGTTCTATGTGTAATAAATAGATATATAAATATAATGCACTAAATCAGTTCCTTATCACAATTTTTTTTAAATAGCTTAAATATTGAGATGCACCAAGATGTAATATCATCGATCTTTTAATAATAATTTAAAATTAGGAAGTAGGCCTTTGCTTGAATGCTACTGTCATTCCATAATCCAGTATTGCTATACTTTCCCCCTTTTCTTTTTATAGTTTGACTGATGGAATAACATGATACATGTTATGGCATGAGTGGAATCAGCTCTGGAAAGTGGGAGTTAAAACTGGCTAGCAATCACTGAATACTGTTTTCTAGATCACATTAACAATAGTAATTGTGGGTACACATTGAATAGAAAACTATGAACATAGGAAGAAAAGAAAAAAATGGTGCTAACTGTAAAATAAAGGACAGCATTGTTTTTAAATAGGGTTGAAAGGTCTTTACCAATAAGAAACAAATATCTAATGTTATACATTTTTATGAAGAACAGAATTCACGCCTTTAGCAGTATTTTCAAAGCAAAATAACTGTAGAAACATTTTAGAAGAAAAGTGGTTTTTAAAATACAATATAGGAAAATTGTCTTTCCAAATCAATGGAAAGAATAAGTAGACGATTATGATAATTAGAATTAATATCAGTATTGGTATAATTCTCTGCGATGTTATTCCCATAACAGTGAGGGTGAACCTTTGGGCCCCAGGTGCCCAAAGAGTGTGCTTGCATGTACCCAAAATGCAAGGCACTTCCCCCACGCATGTGCATGCTGCCCCTCCATGCATATGTGTGCTGCACTGTGCATGCGTGCCCCCCAGCCCCCGCACACATGCAGTAGAGACCCAAAGGCCAGGCAGGAGGTGCGTGTGCATGCACAGTGGAGCTGAGCTGGGCAAAGGCGCACGTACCCACAGAGAAGGCTCTGCCTGCCACTTGTGGCACGCGTGCCATAGGTTCACCACCATGACCATGGAACATCTTCAGAATCAGTATAGAAATCAGGCACTTAAAATAAACTCATTGCTGAGTGCCTGCTTTCGTTAAATAAGTCTAAAAGTACTATAAGGAATACATAGCCTCATACCTCTGTTGAGGAAAAAGCAGGAGATTTGTTCAATGACAATTGGTGAAGTTTCACATCTCTTTTATTTCTCTTCTGTAAAAGAAAATCACATTTTGGGTTTTTTTAGAAAAAAAAGGAAGTTGCTCTTTTGTCAGCCTATACTACTGTTCCTTTACTGCTGATGGTTATTTCTTCTAAAGTTCAAAACTGCCTTTTTCTCCTTTCTTTTTCACCTCTGACCTTTCTTCTTTTGCTGCTGATGTAATAGTACATTGTGTTTGAGGCTGGACATGAGCCAATTCGTGAGCCTGAAACAGAAGAAAACATTTATCAGGTATAAAATTTGTACATTTGTGTTCTTGGTCCTTCCAGTAATCATCAAGCATATTTTATAGAGTAAAATATGTAAAGTTTATTTTAAGCTCATTTATTTTTTCCTCAAGTCATAAATTCCATTTCATACTTGATGCTGCAATGGTCGTCAGGCTGAAAAATGACCATGTCACTTTTTCAATGCCATTGTAACTTCAAACGATCATTAAATAAATGTTTGTAAGTTAAGAACTATTTGTATCATTTAGGATGTCTTTTTTTTCAGTGTTTTAAAAAGTTTAGCCTACACACACACACACACACAGAGAGAGAGAGAGAGAGAGAGAGAGAGAGAGAGAGAGAGAGATGGTAATTGCCAAATGGTTGTTGGAATCCGCATTATAGCCATAAGTACATACAATTATTTCAACTTCACCAGATTTAGAGTTGCAATATATTCTTTTAACAGAATTAAGAACAAGGACAACATTCTATTCCTGACTTCTGGCTACAAATATCATTTTGGTAGCCCTATGTAATACTAACAGAAATTTTTACTAACAGGCTTTTTAAATCATAAGACGTATAGGCTTTATTTGATTGTATAATACCTTACCTTTGCTAAAAGATTTGTTATTGCCTTTTTATATTTGAGTGTTTACCAGTTATGCAGCAACATTTGTTATGATTTTATTTATTTGTTTATATATGTTAATAAAATGTTTCTAAGGTGGCTTAGAAACCCTCTTTCTCATACAACACCCAACTAAAGGAGCCTGACAACCACCTTAGTCCAAGTTATGGGGAGGAACCAGTTTCTCAATGCTCATTTAAAGGCTGATAAGAGTAAGCTATTTTAATTTCTGGTGGGATAGTATTCCTGAGGGAAAGCGCTAAAAGCTTTCCTGTGTCCTTCTCAATAACACAGTTTAATCTGTGAGACCTGGAGCACACCAGTTCTGTCTGGTCATATAGATGGGCAAAGGCCATGGGAAAGAGATAGTAATAAGACCTAATACTGTGTAAAACTTCATATGTGAGAACCAGTATCTTGAATTGCACTGGAAAATCTGCTGGTAACAAATGCAGCTCATGGAAGAATAATCTGCCCATAACTCCTTCTACAGTTGGGATTCTTTCTAAAGGTGAACAAATTGTTTAAAAATCCTTTTATTTACAAATCCACAATAATTATTCTGTTTTATGGATTTCTGAATTTAGTTAATTAAATGCCACTGAATTAGGCCTTACTCTGGAAATTGCATAAATGTCCACCATCCTGAGTTGTCACTAACTTGTAGCTTTTCAGAGAAAATAATATAATTTCTTTTATTGTGTTCATCCAGTTTTATCTGATTCTTTCTGTTTCCCACAACATTGCCAACCATAATTGTTTTTTCTAACTCGTAATTCCTTTGCATCTCATTTGAAATGTATGAATTTCTGTTTACCAGTTATCACCTTACAGAAGTAATCTGCCTTTATTGGGCCCATGATCAATTGATTAGTTCTCACAACCTATCATACTCTTAGGAACAGTCTCCAAATCCATAATTTGAAATAGATTTCTGTCTCTTCTTTGTCAGTCTCTAGCTTTCACAACCATATCTATTTCCACTAAAAAGACCATTGTTTTAACTGTTCTGTCCTTGACAATGATAAAAATATTAATATTCTTCATGATATTGTTTTAAATTTTGTCATTGTTTCGCTGCCTAGGATAAATCTTTACTTATTCAGAATATTTTCTTTCTTTATTTCTGAAACCAAAATTATCTATTACCTTTGCTTCATTACCAACTCTAGGTTCACTAAGTATATTTTGCTGGCATTATCTTGGCTTTTTAAAATTTAACATTCACCCAGATTTTTCACTTTCAAAATCATCTCTTAAGTCTTTACTAAGCTAACAAGTAATATCATCAGTATATCTGAGATTGTTAACAGTTCCACCTTCAATTTTTATTCCATCTGACATTTCTTCTAATCCTATAATGTATTTGCTGCTCAAGATAAACCAATGAAAGCACTATGCACCCTGTGTCACCCCTTTCCCTTTCCTGAATCATTCTTCATTGTAAAAAATGAAGTGATCTTCATTGGGTGCTGATCTGCTTCCTGATCTAATTTAAAGTGTTGGTTATGACCTTTAAAGCCCTAGATGGCATGAGGCCAGGTTATCTGTGAAACCTTCTTCTCCCCATTACATCAGACTGCCAAGAGTTGTTCTGAGGGTGAGATGGATGGCCTCTAAATTTGATAAATAAAATAAATTCATTGTTCTGTTTTTTTAAATTGATCTTACATTCTTGTACTTCAATCTATATTTTACAAATCTGCAGTCTGTTCCACAATTTATACTTGAATGGATTTTGACTCACTAGACTGCATTTCTTATCTTCTGTTTTATATTATGTGGTCAATTTATTTCTGATATTGTACATTCAGTTATTTCCATATATAGAGTTTCAGTTTATGCTCCTGAAACTTAGGTTGGAAATGCCCCTTTTGCAAAACTACTGTATCATTTCATTTCCTACAACATATCTCTTTCCCACTCCATCTATAATTTCAAGTGTCTCTACTTACCAATGATTAAATTCTATCACTCATTAGCAGTACTATATGTTTCTAACGGTGTAATAGCACCCTTGAAATTTAGTATGTAATCATCTGATTTGAATAACCCATTCTATTTAACATAAATTCACTCAATTGCTTTTAATTTAATAGGTTTCATTTCCAACTTCCAATTTTTCTTGGTTCATGGTTCTTACATTTCTGGTTCAAACTGCACGTACCCTTATAAAATGAGTTTTTTTTTTCAATGTTGGCACTCTCTGTAGTCAAATTTTTATTTGAAGCCTTGGTCCACCCAAAGAATGTAAGAATTCTTCCCCAGTAACTTAGAGGAGTAATGTCTAACCTCGAGTGTCTCATCCTTTAATGTCAACTTCTCTAAATATTTCAGCCCAACATAATTCTCTTGATAACAATGTTGAAGTGGTTTGCCATTGCCTTACAAATTTTAGTATGCAAGTACAGTCTCCATGGGTCAATTTCCAACATACTTGCAGAGCCCCTGCTGGCTTCAGCCCTGTTGTGAATTATCATTGATGTAAAAAGTCTAGCAACTTCACTTCTCTCCTTTTGACCTTACCAGCAAAGATAGTCCTACCAGGAACTATCATTCTTACTTGCATCACTCTGGTTGCCTAAAACTACCTTTCCTTTCTGCAATATCAAGGTGATAATCCCAGGAAGATTATTTTTTATTTTTAAAAAGTGTCAGAATTTGTCCATGTAGTCAATTTTAAATAAAAAGTTTTCTCTTTGTCTCATGGTTTTATGATTGGGGACATAAGAATAGATATTAGCTAGTTTGACAAACTGAGACACTTTGCATTATTAGTATAAAATGTAGGCTTCTAGGAATAAGCATGTGTGTAATCATGAGCTTTTTACTGCATTATGTCAAGCTAAAGCTAGCTGTAGTTATAGAAAATGCAGTTATAGAACTGACTAAATTTTCAGTGCTGTGGATATATTTTGGGCATTTTATTTTCCATTTCTGTTATTATTTTTATTATTTTTCACATTGTATTTTTATTTTATAATTATCTAATGCATTGTTAAAATATCAGTAAATTTACAACATTTATTTGACCTAGAAATTTATAAAACTACCCCATTTGGTCACTTATAGCTGCTTTTTCTTTCCTTCAGTTAAGTACCCAATTAAGCGTATGTGAATGAATGTCTTTAGAGTTGAGATAAAAATCTGAATAGAAAAAAATATTTTCATTTTATAAGCAACTCAAAGATAGAGAGCAGAATTACTAAATATAGTCAAAAGTGAGACAGAAATATCTTTTCTAAAGAACAAGGCAAAGGCAAAACGCAAAGTAGAAATGTACCATAGTACAATCCAGTCTTCCATGACAAAGTAGCTGTCAATGCTGTGTTATAAACTATTGACAATCCAATAAGGAATTTCCATTCTGCTTTCAAACAATCTGAAAAGAACTTACTTATTATTTATAAACTGATAATACACATTGTGTATCATAACTTTGTTCTTGAACAGTATAAGTCAAAGCTGGTGCTTGCATTGGGCTGCTGTAATCTCTTCCAATAGATATTGTAACTCTAAAGCATCTGTAATGTGTAGAATTAGAATCTGAGAAATTCTAATGAAATAAGAATAGAAATAAGGAAAGTATTTAAAACACAAATGTTTAAAAATCAGATATTCTGCATCCTTTAAATGACTAGGGGAAAATTTCCATATATTCTTATAGTAGTCTTGTGACTTTTACTTGACTTTTCTGCTATTCTCAATAGATAATAAAGTTCTCCAGTTCTCATTAAGAACAAGCTAATGTCTTGATTATTTTCCTCTTTAATGTTGTATACAATTTTTTCTCTCATAATTTAAAAGGTGTGTTCATAAGACACAATTCACCTAGGCACTGAATTCTGTTTCAGATACACACATACAGTCTACCATATTATTATAGTAATGTATAGTGTCTGCATTATAGTATAGGTATAAAGTAATATAAAAATCCTTTCATACAATAAAATGATATGTACTCATAACACTAAATAAAAGGTCTCCACACCGGATAGTTAAACATTATATTGGATTATATGTTCAAATAAATAACGTACCTGCTAGTAATAAAAAAAAAGATTACATGGAAGTTGATTAAATATAAACCTAATCTAGTCATTAAGGTCAGAAAAAAGTGAGATGTGAAAAAGGTAGTGCTGCCAGTACAAAAAAAGTCTAACAAGACATTAAAGAAACTAAACAGTAGCACCAATAAATGAAACTTACTTTCTAGAGAATGTATTAGGCTGCAAATGAATACATTGCAACAGAAAAGAGTGACTGGAACCAAGTGGAATAAGGATTCATTGGAAGGACAAGAAATCAAGAAAATGCACAAGTTTAAAAACATTTCTTTTATTGATTCCACCAAAGTTCTTTATTCATTCTCAAAAGGTGAAGAAAAACAATTTCTAATGAGTACAGAGCAGATATGAACAAAGCAAAAGACTTACATCTCTTCCACAAAGTGCTAATTGGATAGTTATTGCTACCTACAATTAGAAGCTTGGCATATTGCTCAAGTCCTTTCTCTTCCCAAAAAATAAATTAGAGCAACACATGGATTGGGACTAGATGTGCAAAGTCTACATAGAAAAAAATATAAGAAATAGTACAATATTAATAAGATATTAATTTTTGTTTTGTGCATACTTACAGATTTGTTGTGAAGGAGTCCTTTTTTAAATTTAAAGCTAGGGTACTAAATAGTAAACTCAACCATGATAATCTAAGATGGAGACTAGTATAGGAACAAAGTAGAGTGCCAAGAACTATAAAAAAGAACTTTCATCTAATTCATTACAAGAACATGTGTGTTTCAGAATCTATAGTCATATATATCATGTATTAAACTTCCAATAAGAACTTCCACTATTTTTCAAGTTGATCCTAATTACATTTTTCTTCCCACAGGTTCCTACTAGCCAAAAGAAAGAAGGTGTTTATGATGTGCCAAAAAGTCAACCTATAAGTGTAAGTACATAAAATTTTAGATTTTTAAAATTAATCTAGCAGAGTTAACACAACAAAGCTTAAAATATGTCTGCAGCACTTCCTTATTTATATAAGCCATATTTACTTTAAGCGTAAAGAAGAACTATCCAAACCCCTCCAATTGATTTATTTTAATCTTACTTTATTGGATGAGTAGGGAGACTATTGTTGCATATAATATTTGGGATAAAATTGGAATGAGAAACAGATTGAGGAGTAGGGGATGTGAAAGGATCATATGATCTCATATTTTTTATGAATCTGCCTTCCCAAACCTGGACTTCTTCAAATGTGTGGAGTTCATTTTCCAAAACTGGTAATATTAGATGAGAAATGATTTAGAAATCATTCAGATGTAGATTTAGAATGCTAAAAACATTCAGTTTGATCCAGATGTATTTTAAATTGACCCACAATGGGATACCATGCAGGGGGGCCCCAGTCTAGAAGGACCCTATGCATAGAGAGAGAAAAGTCATAGTCCCTTTTAAAGTTTTTTTTAACTATTTCCCCTGGGGGAGAAAACATATCCTACACCTAATTAGGTTACTAATAGTTACATTTTAAACAAATTAGTGAGGAGAAAGAAGAAAGAGTGGGAGATAGAGATAATCTTGCCCTTAAAATACAGTCTTATATAAACACTTAACTGGTATTAAAGTGCATTCTAAACCCTGTTGCATAGAATAGTGAGAGAAAAATGATAAAATGTGCATGTCATGCAACTGCGTTGATTTGTATACTGGTATCAGACAATGACATGCAAACACATAAGGCCATCATCTGTATCATTAACATTGCTACAATGTCCTGTGGTTGTACCATTTTTTCTGTGGTTGTACCATTTTTCTAGTATATGCATTGAAATTAATGGGATGAGTTATTCCTTCTGTTCAATTGATTTCATTATGCCTAATGTAAATCTAGTTTAGTATGTTCTGAACTTAATAAATATTCCTATTGTGGAAAATTAAGAGAAATGTTTTAAAAGAAAGATTATAACAGAAAATCAAACACAAATCAAATCATTTTTGAAGTTTTCTCCACCAATTATTAAGAAATTTGCTTTCTTAAGAAACTATTAAGAAAATGAAGCATGCACTAATTACATACAATGCAAATAGGTTTATTTGTATTAATTTTTTGCTATTTTGTCGCTTTTAGACAATTTTTTAAAATTCAATTTGTCTCAGGATTACCTAGTTTACCTCTATTTGACTTACATATCCAAGAATATTTACTTAAATAGTAGGCCTTATTCCTATGAATCTCTAAATAACTGTATCTAAATAACTAATTCAGTAGAAAATGGTTTCCTTATTCCCTCCTTTTAATGCATTCTACCTTATAACAGTGCAGCTCATTTAAGATAGTACTTGTTTTCATTTTGAGGAAAGATGGCACTGGAAAAGCTATTTTCTTGTTCTGTTGCTGAATGTCAAAATTGCTGTGAAAACAAATTTAACAACTACAAACATTTGCATACTAGGATGTGGATTTGTTATCTATACTGGCTCTGGATATTAGGAAACTTTAAGCTGTTCCTAAAATTTTTCCTGTTGTGTTTATGGTCAGTCTTCCTTAACTTTTTGACCCTCACCTTCAACCCAAATTTTCCCCAACTGCTGGCACCCAGATGTGTGAACTTCATTTTTCAAAATTTCCAGCAAAAAACTGGGACTTGAAGTCCAAAATATGTGGTGGGCACCAAATCAAGGAGAGATGCTTTAGATAAACACTTCCCACTCTTCAAATACATGTGAGCAAAAACAAATAAAGTAGATTTTACCAAATGACATCTTCCAATATTTTGCATATCTTCTGAATGTTGCAATTCAATCATCATGTGAAATTAAAACTTGCTGAAGTACAAGCTTCTTAATGAGCTGTTTCTCATATTTCTCCTAAAGCCTCCTATTATACACACATGTCAGGTTTTGCTTGTCATTGGATTTTAGCAACAGGAGGCAAACCATAAATACCTTTCACTAAGCCTGTCACTCAAGAAACAATAAAATCTAATCTTCCCATCAACATGTCCAAATTATCTGTTTACAATTTTATGAAAGCTTTCAAATGACTTGCAGTGCTATATTAAGATCTATCCACTCCCCGTATTTCTGATTCAGTTTTGCCTGCAGTTGATTAATCATATATTCCTACAAAGAGAAGGTTACCTCTGTCTGCAAATGAGTATATTTGGACTCAAGACACACTAATTTTGATTTTAATGGGTATAGGTCCTCTGAAAGACTTCTGTCAATCTAGATTTTCCTTGGTAATAGAGTTTTATTAGTTGCACATTCAAACACATTTCCACGCATATAAAAACAAAAATGCATTATAGAACAAGTGAGGACTATGCAACCTTTCTGATGTAGTTGAACTGCAAGTCTCATCAACCCAGCCAACATAACCAAGGATGAAAGACGCTACAAATTGTAGTTTATCATCTTCACAAATGCCATAGGTTTCTTATCCCTATGGCAAAGATGGATTCATCTTTGACCCAGTTATGGCTGATACCAGTCAAATAGTTTAAGAGTAGTACCGTTTTATTAAGAGAGCCATAATGTCTTAAATAAAAGTGCATGAATTCTAAAGGTAAGTTGTTTATTATTTATGGTTCAATACACATTGTAGCACAAGGCCACTTTTTAAAACAACAGCAGCATTTTAATAGAGAGCAAGCAGACCTCGATCAACCAGTCAGCAAGCAGCTAAACTTCATTTCATCCTGTATTATTATATGTTTTCACTAAATGTTGCTAGGTGATCTCTATCACAGGTATCTCATTTGTGTTTGACTGCTTCTACTCCCTTGTCATATTTTAAGTTTACTTGCCTTTCTTTTCTTGTATCTTCAAAAGTAGCATCCAGATGGCATTCAGAGTAGCATCTGCATGCATTGCCCTCCAGCAATATAAACAACTTGCTTAAGCCAGCCAGAAAACCTATTCCACACTCCATACAGATAGTTTATCATCCCATTAGTGATGCATTTATTTTTCCTGGAAATTTCTATAACATTTGTTGAATGACTATTCTATGAATGTGATAATTCCCAGCTGAAAAACTTACACAAAGAAACAAAACTATTTTTTTACAGCATTTGCTCCCTTGTTCATTTTAGTTCTTAAGGGCAAAAAAAACGACCTTTAAACATTTATCCTTTCCTATCTTTCTTCATCACACTTCGTTTATCACAGTCATTGTTATTGGGAGGGGACATGCAGCATAAAATATGAACCATAAAAAGTGAAGTCAAGGAGAATACTTATCATAGGCTTCTTGGCTTTAATAAAACCCCTGAATATCAAGGCTTCGTATCAAGAATGAAGGCTATTGTTAATGGAAACATGGAAAAGTTAAATTAAATTATTTAATTCAAAGATTATTCTCGAAGACAACTTCAAATTGCACTTTGTCCAGATTGCAGAAGGATGAGCTATCATGGCTATTTTAGGGATCGTCTTATTCATCCCAAACATTCTGATAAGCATCATCATGTTCTAGGTCCCATAAAAAAATTTTTAATGCTACCTGATGGGACCCAGGAAGTAGAATCTATCTGTCATGTAGCTGCTCTCTGGAATAGCGTTTTCTCTAAAATGGGTATTACCCCTAACCTGGGTCTTTATAAATAAGCCACCTCTCTTCAGATGGACCTCTTCTGGTCTTTTGAACTATTCTTAGCTTTTTTTTACAGACTTTCATTTTTTGATGGCGTCACTTTGCTTAACAATCACAATCCTAGCTTTTCCTATTGCAATTGTTAAGCAACTGAATATTGTTAAGCATAACATGGGGTGCCTAGGTATGGGGGAGGCCCTGGGAGGCCTGACACAGGCACAGGCTGACACTGCAACACCTCCCCAGCTCACATGTGTCCTGCACTAGGCCTCCCAGGAATACTCCCACCCCTTGAAACACATCTTTCCACCCCACTGCATCTCACACCCTTGGGCATCTTCATCACCCCATCACATCTTGCTCCACTTATCTCTTCTAAAGATCATCTTCGGACAGATCGCAAGAATGGTAGGCACTTCCAAAATAGCACGAGAAAAGAGGCCCCATGGCACATGGGGAGGGTGTTGTTTCAGAAAGGCATTTCAGAAGATCACCTTTCCAAAAGAGAACCAGTCAAAGTGATGTGCAACCTTCCTATATAGGAGCCATCCTGGAAGTGGGCACACCATTTGAGAAATGTACACAATTCTCAGATTATGAGACTATCCAGGAAGGATGTAGGCCCAGGTGAGTGAGAAGTACTCCAAAAGGACCAGCAGGGGGGAAAGTAAGTGAGTAAGGGCAATTGCAGCATCTCTGCAGGTGGTCATAAGGTGGATTGCCAGGCACACAAATTGTGATCACAGGACTATGAGGGCACTGCAGCAATAATAACTTCTGGTACTGGTCATAAATCCCTTCATTCAACACTGATCTTAAATGGTAATTGAACAAATGGTAGTAAGTTAAGGACTACCTGTATATCACAAAAATAGCTGGTGACATTGCTTATCTACCAAAAGTATTGAATAGAACGCACTTGTATTGTAATTCTTTCAATAATTCAGGAAGATCCAAAACATTTCAGTGCAAAATGAGATCATTAAAATATCATTTTTAAAAATATACATAGAAGTGCTTTAAAAATAATAAAGATCATCAGCATACAAATTAAATTTAATTCAATGTATTTGTCTTGAAGAATTTCGAAGGAGAATAGTATATTTCTAAGATTGAGATGCTGGCCATAACATCAGATATAGAAAGTGTAGTTGAACCATATCTGTGCATTATGATAATCAAACAGTTATTTTAAGAATATTACGTGATCAAGACATTTAGTGACACTGCTAAAAAGCAAATGTCACCTTTAACTCTAAAACTTTCATTGTATTCCCAAGTTGATGATGATCGTATTTAAATGCAGATATCCTTGACCTGAGCATTCTGCTTCTGAAAACTGGAAG